TAAGCTCTTTGTGATAAAGTAAAATTCAAACATCAAATTTATTTTATAAAAAATAAAATCAATGATTAATTAAAGTTTTCATTATTTATTTATTAAGGTATTTTTAAAAGAAATTATTAATTGCTTATGCAAATGTGTGTATGTGTGTGTGGATCTGAGTATTTCCATTAAAATTTCGTTTAGATGCTTACCTATTGTATTTCAATAATAAAATCCCAAGATCTTTTGAATTCATTACAAAGAAATGAAATGGAGGCAATTTTTAGTAAAACCATGATCGGAAATTATATCTACCAAATGCGAATACAGCTGAAACTTGACAAACATCTCTTTTTAAGGAATGTCTCAGCTCAGTACAACTTAAAATTTCAAATCTAAGTTACGTGTATTACGTGTTTCTCAAAAACAAAACATAAAAAGATGAAGATAAAGTTTTCCTGATCGCATCTCTTTCATCTTCGAGTTATATGATAATCAATCGAAATAAAAAGGGTAATAAAAATGCTATTACTCTAATAGAAAAAAAAATAAATTGTCTTTACACATATTGTTACATGCAAACCCTTCAAAAGTTAAACATGAAATATATTTTAGTACTCTTATTTCCTCCTCTCAGGAGACATCACACACCGTAGTAAAGATCATAAGTTCAATCTTCAGTTAGTGCTAAGCTTACCTTTAAACATAGCATATGTATAAAAGATACAATAAATTATTACCTGAATATACTATGTGCTTGATTTTAGCTAGTAACTATAATAACTTAAATATTTTTATTGCAGTCTCAGGATAATGTTCAGACTACAGAGTACTCCAAAATCACAGCATTGCAGACTGTATAAAATCGGATACTGAGAATCATTACAAACTCTAATCATGCAGTCAACGCTGAAATCTTGCACAATGACCTCATCCTGCGTTCAAAAGAATCTCTACATACCATTAGCCGAAACGTTTCAGAAAGCTGCGGATTTCCAGCTAGTAAACTATTCCTCTGCTTCTCATAACGAAATACAGGAAAATGATTAATTAGTATAATACTGTCTAATCTCTTAGGTGATGAGACAGCATTTTAAGGCTGGTATCACACATCTATTTATTTCAGACGATCAACTGTTTCAAACAATTTTTCTACCTACTTTATCACTGAAAAAAAACACGCATGATATTTTCCCTTTCTTTCTCAAAAAATTGTAAATCATTCCTTTTCAACAGCCAATCAGCTATCAGCATCGAATTCCCGATCATCAATCATTTGTAACGGAGAACTAGATTCCTTTTGACATGGCAATACAGAAGTGATTTGTCCTAGTTGGCTATTTTATATCATGTGACAAAACAGGGAATTGTACTTAAGAATTGTGCTTTCGAAATTTTTTGGCCCGTCTGACTGTTATGTTATATGCCCATGCAGCAAAATTACCAATGAGCCGGCAAGATCGCACATATTAGCGATAGCCGGGCAATACGTGTATTGATTGATTGATTGAATTTTTTTGAACGTGTGAGCGTCCTTTACCATTGAAAGCAAGACGCATAATTTTTCCCCTTTGTATGGTAAATAATCATAAGTTCTTCAACAACCAAACAGCTATCAGCATCGAATGCCCCGTCATCAACAATCTTTTGCGTAGTTAGACTTAGACAGTTCTATATGACCGAGCTATTGCAGGTGCAACTTTGCCGGTTCCTTAAATAGCCAAGGCTCAGTTATAATGAATCAGGAATGGAAAACTTCTCGAGAGAAACGGAGAAGGAAAAGTTGAGGGGTACCAAAGGAAAGGCCAAGGCATCTAGCAGGTGAACGGAATTGCAAGATGAGAAAATACGACGGATCCTTCCCAATTCGAGAAACGCAAATGAAACATGGTTCAAAATGCTATACACAGCAACAAAAGTTAATACTCTATAAACTCAAAATTAACCCATACAACAGAAAATCAATACACAAGATTTACAACATCAACTCGAATCCCAAAACTAGCGTACAGCACTGTCTTCATCAGATAAAATGAAAGAATTACGCTTTCATAGAGGAGCAAGAGCAGAAGCGAGTTAATCCACAACGGATGTATACTGGAGAGCGTATGCAACCTTCACCGTCCAATTGTGTACGGCCTGCTGGCGAATTCCGAAAGTCCGAAAACTTACTTGCTTCTATGGGACAAAGATGTCTTGCTGGTCACATAAAATTCAGTAAAATGTATTCGCTGCAGGCCAGAGTAAAGAGTTTCGTGAAATGGGACTTGTAACCTTATAGGTAGTTTAAACTGCATGATTTTTATTTTATTTCAGAGTTTTGTCATTTACTATCTCTGTGAATGGTTGAAGTTTCAGCATATTGTATAAGAAAATTGCGCGTATATGACATTTCAGCAGGTTATGCCTAAAGTATTAAATACTGGACACATTACTGGAATCACCCTTTCAAATATGATTTTCTATTTTTCGTGCATCCGTTGAAATAGAAAGCTGCGCATGCGTTAACTTTTTCGCCAAGTAGTACGCTTTTGTTTCATAAACATTACTGCCTGCAATAAAAAAAATGCTATTATTAGCATTATTATTGAGAAAGGTTGTGCGATCTGTTACTTTGTTAAAAAAAAAGCTGCAGGATCTTATCATGCAACATTGACATAAACGTAACAGCATATTTTAAAAAATCGATACTTTATAAGTCATGCTTTATCATTATTTCTATAAAAATCATTAATAATCGGATATAATTCTGTTATCTAGTGCTGTTAGAAAAGTAGGTAATGAAAAAATGTGATTTGAAAAGCTACCGATTTAAATAGTATTTAAAAAAAAAAAAAAGGAGGGTAGAGAATTTTAACTGTAATATCGTTTCTCTAATAAGAAAACTGAGTTGAAGTTTGTACCGTTTGATACTATTCAAATAAAATATTTGTTATAGTTAATAATTAAAACAAATTAAATTTATTTAACAATCGTATAAAAGTTAAAAAAGCAAATTTCAGTCTAAAAAAGCCAAATGTTAAAAAAATGTGCAAAATATAAAGATTAATACTCGAACTAATCTAAATATATTAAATTCGAGCATAACAAGTGCAAAATAATCATTTGTAAAATTATCATATTGTTAAAAATTATTAATTATTTGTTAAATTAATTAATTATTGTTAAAATCTCATTATTGTTAACATAAATTAAATTTGTTTAAATTTAATTTCATTCCTTGCGCAATGGCGCAAAGAATTTAATTAAATTTGTATGTAATTTAATTTTTTTTAAATTCATTTATCTTATGAAAAATGTTATAGTAATAATGTATTGATCCCCGCCATACATACAATGAGTGTGGAATCAGTATAAGTAGCATATTTGTTCTATATAATTCAGAAAAGAAGTGCATATTTTGTTTCAGTAATACAATCTCATAAGAGAGGCAATCATGGCATAAACATATAAATGTGATTTTCTTTTTATCTTGATGCAAGCATTAAATTAAAGAGATTTTTTATTCTCAACCAATTAACAGTGTGAATTAATTTTACGTTATTCAATTAAGTTCCATCTCAATTTTTATTAGTAATTGAGATTTTTCCTAAAATATACTAACATCTTAACAATGTGCAAATAATTTAAAGCGATTTTAAAAAATCCTAAATTAGTCAGGAAAAAGGGGTTACGTTCTATCTAAATATAATTGTAAAAAATGACAACTATTCGAGCCGTTCTCTGACTGCTAGCAGACGGAAATAAAAACCGACCGCCATACAAAGCGGCCAACTGTCGAGGACAGCTAAGCTATCACTCCCCAAGAGCGCCAAGAGCATTATCACGTGTCTTGTGAGACACCCTAGAGACGAATTCTCTGTGGGTGCCGTCTACCTGTTATATGAAGCGTTGATCCCTTGAAGGTGTGAGCAGCAAGTGGTCTTATGTTGCGTTTTCATTGAGTATTTCGTAGTTGAAGACTTGGGAATAGTGAAGAAGTTCATTTCGGATGAGAAAGTCAGCATCAGTGATAATACGAAGAAATTTATTCTGCACTATTTGAAATTGATGTAATTCATTAGGAGAGGCAGTATTCCAAGCTGGCGATGCATAACAAAGAATAGGTCGGATACAAGTAGTAAAAATATGTCTCTTGGTTCTTAGGCTAAGGTTAGAGAGCTATTACCTTTATAGTAGAGCTACTAGTAGCCTTAGCATAGGGTAACTAGATTCCAGTTTACATAATAACCCCAAAACAATCCACGGTGATTTGTTGCTTAATACCGTGTGACAAACCAGAAAAAGTGTTCTAATGAGTTGTTCTTTCAAAATGTTTAGAATGTGTGATACGATTTTAAAGTTGGAACGAATGCTTAAGAAAACGTAGCGACTATGATGAAAATAATATTGAGTAGTGACGTAATATTATTTATCTATATCCACAGGAATACTCAGGGCCGGATTTAGACATGATAAGGCCCTAATTAGACATGATATTATATGCCAGTGCCAAATATGATATTCGGTTACTTAGAGGGTTTGTAGGACCCAACAAAGCGGGGGATCTTAAGCTATAGCTTATATTTATATGTAAATCCTGCACTGGGAATGCTGAGGCTGGTTACTTTACCTTTTGAATCGGTATTAAGTTTTCTGTTTTACAGCTTCGATGCTATCGACTTTTTATTTAATATTCATTTTCTTACTCTTTTCGTCAATCGAAATCATACAATAATAATATTCATATTTTAAAACTAGGTAGTTTTTCTTCAAGTCAATTTTGGTCAAAATTAACCAAATAGCAATCCAACATATTTCCATTATTGTAAAACAGTTTAAACCAAATGTCTAAAACACAAAGAAAATTTAAAAAGGAATGAGATGTTAACTGAATAGTGTAGAATTAATATTTGTTTTTAAAAAACAAAGTAATAATATCTTGACCGGAATTATTTGTTCATAACTTTAAACGTGTAGAATTTGAGGCTTAACACCTAGTATATCAGTTTTATTTGAGATTGTAATCCCGGAATTTCGATATTTATCCTCATGTTGAGTTTGAAGTAATGATCGTGAAACTGTGTGAATACTGTACTTGGGTAAATATTATGCCAACTGTGTGTTTTTTATTAATGATGTAGCATTGTAATAGTTTTATATGTATGATTATTTTTTTCAGTAATGCTGCTGTGAAGTATCATCATGCCTCCTAAGAAAAAAGCTCCTGAAACAAGCAAAAAAGCGGATTTAAAAAAGAAGGAAAAAATAATTGAAGTTGGTATTTATAACTGGCCTATATTAATTGGAGTTTTAGTATGCTTCATGATATTTAAAAAGCATATGTTAACTTAACTTTTACTCATAATTAGTATGTTTTATCCAATGGAAAATATTATTATATATGTAAAGCCTGTACAATTATGTCCTGTATTTTGACTATATACTTATGTTTAATAACCTAAATTAGCGTAATTTATAATGCATTCTTCTGGTCAGAAAGGAAGAAAAACGGAAAATATTTGCCTTTTCTTTATAATTAATTTTTAAGAATGAATGACTTGCATGTCATTTGCATGTTGGCATACGATGATGCCTTGATTTTTGTATCATTTGTAACAGGTTTGAAAGAACTTTGAAAGATTGCGTAGAATATTTTTCAGCTGTTACTTGTTTATTCCCCTCCCCCTCTTTAACGTAGTGATGTGAATCCGTTGATTCGTAAGGAGTGTTATTTTATGTTTACGTAACTTTTTCATAACGTATGTAGGCATCTGTTGTATTCCATCATTTGCAAACTTTTAAAAATAGAAAGGTTTTTAATTTTAACATGGAAACAAACAAGTTTCATTAACTTCAAGGAAATAAATCAAGTTTTTTTTTTTTTTAAAAAAAAAATTCTAAAACGTCATTTGTTTAAATCAGAGGCCAATACCTTTAACTTCTGCTTAATTGATCCATTAAAATAATAGTTCTTGTAATTTTTTTATTGCTGTTTCTCATGACAATGAACTAGTTTCTAAATATGAATTAATATGTAACAGTTGTATATGCTGCTTACTTTTTTCATTTTTATAATTATTAATATCGGTTAATCATATTAGTTGCATTTAGAAGCATTTCTTGAAAATAATATTCTAGTGAAACATTCCGTGAATACGAATGTTAGAGTTTAATTAATTGGCAAAAATAAGAGTGATGAAAAATTTGTTTATAAAAAGTAAAGTTTAGGTACAGTTCTATATATAAAAAATATATATTGCTGCTATAAATATAACAGGTCTATATTATGCTATAAAATAAACTTATAACTGTTTTCCTTTTTTATGTTATTTAATTGTTTTAATGTATTTTATTGAGAGTATGCATTTTTTCTTTGCTATATTGAAATTTGGGCTCCTTGACTTTTAATGAAAATATCGATGGTCATGGGCGAAGTAAGGGCGTGTCATGCAAATTGTGCAATTCTGGGATTTTTTTTTAAGTGAAAATAGGTTTAGTGTACTGGATAAAAGTCAAAGGAGTGCACAATGCCATTTGTGCATCGAGATTTTTTTAAGTGAAGACGATGTGTACATGTAACGAGTTTGTGTGCATTGTTGTCTTGTTATTTGGCTTTGTGTAGGGGCGATTTTTGGCCGAAAAACGCGCTTCGCAACCAAATATCGAGTCAAATAATTGCACAAAAATTAATATTGTAAAATATATTATTATAAATTATATTGTATATATATTGTAAAATATATTGTAAATATCCATGTACCGCCAAAAATCGCCAAGGGGTACCCTAAACTATACTTTTACCAATAACAAATTCGGAAAAGTATCTTCCAATAAACTTAAATTTTGAAGAAAAAAACTTCAGATTTTATTTATGTAACATACAGCAGTGTGATTTAAGAGACATTATAGCTTTAGGCAACATTTTAAATGAAGTCAGTATCCAGTCATGAGAGATAATAACTGAAATTTGACCTACAAATTTGTTAAATAAAATAGAGCAATTCAGGGAACATTTGATCATACTTATGCTTTATGCTAAACTGCAGTCTTTGGTAGGTGTCAAAAATTGATGGTAATTTGCCATGAGATGTCAGTGTTTCTGTTGGTACTGTCTTCCGTTGTAGTCATATCCTTGATGTTGTCATGTTTTCATGTTGTGTTCAGTTTATAAGGTATTTTTCCAGCCTTCTTAGCGAGCCTTCGTGGTGTAGTGGTCTGCATGCTCAGTGCGTAATTGAGAGGTCTGCGGTTCGATTCCCGGCGAAGACGTTGCTAATTTTTCATCTCTCTGGCCTTCAAAAATATCCTAATGTCTCTACAGCGGCGCCCGAACTAAAAGGGTGTTAGATGATGATTCCTCACCCAGGATTTGGCGATTGGGTCCCCTAGAAACCCCAGTTGCCCTTTAAAAGGGGAAGTATATAAGGTATTTCTCCCGCCTTCTTAGCAAGCCTTCGTGGTGTAGTGTTCTGCACGCTCAACATGTAATTCGCTAGCTCAACATGTTCTGCACGCTCAACATGTAATCCGCGGTTTGATTCCTGGCGAAGGCATTGCTAATTTTTCATCTCTCCGGCCACCCCAAAATCGTAATGTCTCTACAAGTTTATTATTTTCTGAATGCATATCAGAGGTTTCCTCAAAAATAAATTTTAGACCGTTACTATTCTAACAGTCGCTTTGCAGTTGCAGTTAAACTTATGCTGTGGATAGTAACTGGCAGTATCTGTCATAAAAACAGAAAAAGAAAAAAAAAAAAAAAAAATATCAACAGTATTGCACTATAGTTTCCTCCATAGCTCCCAAGATAATCAATCCTCAGATTGCCACAAAAATTATGTTGTCATCTACTGAAGCTGGTGATCTGGTGTAACACATTATTATACTTTTTTATAATGTGTTATACCAGATCACTAGATGTTAGGCTTGCTTGAATAAAATGCCTTTTAGCCGTATCTAAAAAAGTCTATTGTAGTTCAGTGTTTTAGGAGAACTTTGAGTAAAAAAGACTTAATGTGTTTAAAACTATCATTTCATGTTATTTACTTAACAGTGTGTTTATTGAGCTGTTAAATATTAATGCCTTTCTTTATTTAACTTTTTCATGTCAGTAGAGATGTATTGAAGCCATTTAGTCTACTATTCATTCAGCAGGGTACAGAAAAATAAATTAGGAGGGACTGCCATTTCCTGCAATAAATTTCTTTATTTAGTGTAGTGTTGTAATTGTAGGAAATACACCACAATCTTCAGGAAAAGGTTAACAATATAAAATAACAATAAGTGAGTTATTATCATTATTTTTTTGATGATGCATGATTTTGTTTGAAAAAAAGTCTTTAACTTGGAAAAAAAAACCTGCTTTTGTGAATTTAGATATGAAATTTTCCAACTATATTGAATAATATATGCAGAAATTATTTGGTAAAAGTGTATTGAACATACCTTTAGAATTTCCAAGGTCCTTTTAACTTATTTCTTGATTATTTTTTACAATTTTTAAGGTATATGTATATATTTTCTGGAAATTTTTATTAATTATATGGCACTAATCTCTTACTTGGCCAGTCTCCTGAGGTGGTTTTTATAAAAAAAGAAAAATATATGTAATGATTTTAATGAATCCATTTCAATTGTTCAGCTAGTAATTAATAATAATTGAAATGAATCTGTATTTATTGCTTTTAAATCATTTAGTATGCTAATAATGGAATAAATTTGAAAGAAAAATTAAATATTATGCGCTTCACCAAAAGGTAAAAAACTGGCACATGGAAGATAAAAATATTTTATATAGTACAAAGTCTGTAATCTGGACGTCCATTATCTGGAATGATCTTTAATCCGGACCTCAAAGTCACAAACTTTGTGCATGCGCGTAGAGAATGTGCATACATTATGCATGTGCGCATTGAAAGAAATGTTTAATAAAGTAAACAAATAAATATTAAGCTTTTCTTTTGTAAAATTTGATACCCTTTAGATCATAATTGCTCTTTATTTCATAAATTAGTGTTTCATATTTTTAATTGTATAATTTCTGCATGCCATCTTACCAGATTTAAATTGATGATCTATAATCCCGGAATCGCCGAAGTCCCGACGAATCCAGATTACAGACTTTGTACTGTATTAGGCAATTCAGTATAAAGTGACTGAGATGACAAGACATTTTTTAATTCTTTATTAAATTTGAAAAGCAATTTTTGATGTTTTTCCAATCAGCAACACACTTCCTTTATATCGTTGAGTTTTCTGACTAAATTTGAAACATAAGTAACTTATGCTTTGCTGAGTGACAACTCAAAGCCTTTAAATCACTGAATCACTGAGCTTTTAATAAAAAGTTCATTAAATCTGCACAAATTACGAAGATGGCCTATTATGTTGAAACTTTTCCATAATGTGAGGAACATACATACATAAGATTCTTCATTATTTAATAGTAGAGGTAAAGAAAAAAAAAAAAAAAAAAAAAAAAAAAATTTGTCATATGAATCGGGCATATAAAAGAATAGCATTTCATGTTTTAGTATTATGTTTTATTCAGAATGTTTTTAAGAGACAAATTTTATCTGATTATGGGCATTTTAAATGCACAGCATGATTAGATTGAAATGTGTAATTTAGATTTGGAGGAATCGCTAGGAAACATGTTTTTTTAAAGGTGAAAAATTATGTTCTGAGAATTTCAGATTACAGTTAGAGAAGAACTTATCAGAAAGTAAAAAATAAAGCTTATTATTGCCAACTCGTATGATTCTTTACTAGAACACTAACAGAAACATACTATATAAAAGTTAGTTGAAATGAACATGAAAAATTGACTGATTTTTTGTTGAAGCTTACTCAAACTATATAGCAATCATTTAAATAATGTAGCTTTTACTTCATTCCTGTCAAAAAGGTAAAAGTACCTTTCTGAGTCCTATCTCTTTTCCTTCATTCTTTTAACTTTTGTGAATAGCACTAAATCTTCTACTGTAACTTATGACGAAATTGAAGACAGTAGTAAATTTTGTATTTATTTGTGTTAAATACAAAATGTCTTTTAATTGATTTTTACGTTGTTGAGTACAAAGTCTGAAATTTGTACATCTAATATCTGGACCTCCAGATGACAAGCTATTTTTAACTCTAGGGCAGTGGTTGTGAACCTATAACTCGGGGTCAGACATGGACCTGCGAAGGCTTTTTAAATGACCCAGTCATTGATTTTTAGTAATCAGTGACTGGGGCATTTAAAAAGCCTTTGTGCATAATTAATTTTTTAT